CTTGTGCGGGAAAAGACGTCCAATCGAGCACAAATCCTTCATAGTATCTTCCATTAACTTTTGCACATTCTCTAACGTCCCAGAATTCTCCATTTCCTCTTTCAGATATTGAATTCTCCATCATCCCACAATTCTCTAACTTCCCAGCACAAATGGTATATAGATGATGATAAGTTCAAACTCATAATGGACAAATATAATTGCCTAACCACCAAAATTCATGGCAGCCACTCCCACCTCTTCTCCGAAATAAAAAAATCAAAGCCAAAAACTCGAAACTCATTCCCAATAACCCGAATCCTCTCACCATTAAAACCATATCTTTTCATTTGTAGAGACTAAGCAAATCCCACATGCCATAGTCTCCAGTCTGCCACCCTCACTTGTTGTCAAACCACCGATGAAACCCAGCCTGTCGCCCTCTTTGCTTGATGTCGAACTACCGACCAAACAAAAGCCACCACATTGGAGACGGAAACTCTACACGGCATGATTTATTGCGGAAGTCGGATAATTGATGGTGGTTGTGCTTGCATTCCATCGTTTTCATTAACTTCCGAATGGTTCTTTCATGGTTAGTTAACGCCGTTAAGTGACAAAAGTATTTCTCGCCGTTTATAAACGTCTGTTTCTTTTGCCGTTACTAAATGTCCGTTAGTTCTAACGTCATTTAACATCGTTAATAAAACCGTTAATAACAGCTCGTTAATTATTCTGTCATCTAACACCCATAATTATTCCATCAAAATTTTCGTTATAATACCATTATTAAGTGGCCGTTATTTATGTCGTTAACTAACGTTCGTTACTATCGTAGTTAAGTAACCGTTAATCGTGTCGTTATTTAACGTACCCATTATATTTTCGTTGCATAACGCCCGTTATTGTGGCCTTTTACTTAAGTCGTTTCTCTGTCCATCTTCATCTTCACGAATTTTAAATGATCAATAATACAATACTCGGAAAGAATACTTATAAAGATTTATATACAAAGTGAGATGATAAAAAATGAATGAAATAGTGAAACAAAATGTCAATTCACTCTTCCATTCATTTTTTGTCACATCACTTTGTATGGAAATGTTTGTAAAATTTCTTTGTAAGTGTAGTATTACTCTTAAATGATTGTGTGAAACTACTTCTCCGATTTTCAGAACAAGATTGGTCACTTTCCTATTAATTAATCAGTTGGATTTTCGTTTTGCCCACTAGCAGAGCTTCAGAGGGCTGTGAATTTGGTCGTCGTATAATAAAATTAAGCCTTTGCTGCTGTCGCTTTGCTTCTCGAAGCTCCTGCTCCGCCTCAAAGCTTCTGATGCCATAATGGTAAGTTTTTCATATTTATTGAACTGATATGTTTACTTTAGGCACTTGTATGTACATTGAGACTCCTGTTTTTTCCTTTTTTCCTTTTTTTTTTTTTTTAAGGGATCAATTCCAGGTCTTATCTTCCTCATCTAGCCTGACCATGGAGGTGGTTGCTGCCAGAAGCAACGCTGTTCGCTTCTATCAATTATATGTACTTGGCCGTTCTTGAGCTCTTTTGATTTTGAATTAGAAAAATGCTTCTCTTGTGTCACTTATCTATTCATTTATGTTTTAGAAAATTCATTAAGATTATGCTCTGTTACATACTTTATAATCATGGGAATATTATTGTTGACTGTCACAAGCATTTGAATAGGCTTTTTTATACTTAAATATTCTACCATTTGCAGTAATGAAAGCTGTGCAAGTAGGCGTTGCTGGAATTGTTGTCTCCAATTTCTCATAAAGATAAAATTCATCTCAAAACTTGGTAAGGCTATGGACTGCACTTGATCTAGTTTAAAAAGCTAAGAAAAATTAGCTTGTTCAGGATTGATTACGTGGATACCATCCTAATTAATATCTCGGGATTAGATCTTAAACATTTGAACAAGATTTACAAAACAGAAGTGTAGATCTTTGAGGCTTATACTGCATTACCCTTAACTTGCTGGTAGTTCATGTTGTTGAGCGAAAATTCCTGTTCTAATGGATGGAGGAGTGTGGCGAAAACAGATGTTTTTCTGGCCCCTTATCGGTTGCTCTGATACCATGTTAAGATTTGAGAGAAGAAGAAATTGAATAACTTGAAGAGAAGAAGAATTCAGTTTTTTTCACTTATTCACGTGACACTGTACAGCTTATATACAAACGCATGCACTGTTTACACATGCATTTCTGATTCTTAACTAATTACACTAACACACTCTGACGTTTAACAACCTTTTAATATGACTCAACTGCCACGTAACAATCCATGCCAACTTGTCCTTCAACACAGATAACACGGAACATTTCCAGACAATATGGACATAAAGAGATTACATATTGAGTGACCCTAATAAAGAAAAATAAAAATAAAATAAAGACTGGCTAAATATTTAATGTTTTCTGCCAATTTAATTTTATCTCTGTTATATGGAATTAGATGTATACTTATACTCTATCTTCAAAGAGCTAGAATATAATTATCTGCAGAATTCGGAACTTCACTTGTTCTGTGAAGAAGTCTTTTGGTGTTTTCCCTCTGGTTAATTCCAGAAAATCCAGAATATAAAACCTGCAGACAGAATCACACAAAATCTGTTTTTTGGCTCTGTAGTATCAGTTCATTATGCAAATTGCACATAATTTTCTGCATAATATTTCATCGGCAGTTATTAATGTTAGTGTATGTGCCCTAAAGCCAATGATAGATATAAGGTTTAGGGCAACAATTATATATAAACTTTGTAATGTTTTATCACTAATAAAATGACGATTATTCTAAGCTACTTTGTATCATCTATATTTAATTAAGTTGTGTATGTCTTTAAGCTTGTTTTAGAAAGAATTCTATTTTTCAAAGAGTTTGAGAATATGAGTATCAGAATTCTTTTAGCATGACTCGCTCTTAAGTATGTTCTTGATCGGATGTGATAATAATCAAGGGCAATATTATCACAAGATCAACATTACTATGTGCCGCCATTGATTGGCATGAGATGTTAATGGTTGGGTGATGAGACTCATATCATAAGGGCACGAGTAATGAGGTGATTTATTAGAGAATGAAGCATCGAACATGACCGTTGGACGATTGATCACATGGGTATAATATCGTCAGTCAATGATCATCGTTATGTGCATTAGTGTCACTTTATCCTTAGACCAGAGATGTGATCATGTCTTGTGCATGGGTACTCATGGTTCTTCTGTACGTTATCACTAGATTGTTTATATCTAGTGTGTAGTGCTTGTTGGTCATGAGTTAATCATATACAGAGTCATATATGTATTCAATAAGGAATTTGATGGCTTGAATATTACGAGTTTGAGTGTTTCAAGGGATTAATGAATGTGGAGGAAGTCTTTGGCCAAAGCATTTATGTTTTATGAATAGTTTCATAGAAACATAATTCCATATTTTAAAATAATCTGAATTATGTGATCAAGTTAGAGATTTGACTATACCATGGTTTGCACTTGATCGGAACACGATATTAGAGGGAATGAGATGACATGACTGAAACGCTCAATTTTACAGGTTCATATGATCTCACTTAATTCATTGATTGGGGGGAATGATATACTGTTAGGTGTCACTCATGGTTTGTAAAGAAGATGAATATCAAGAGTTGATTATTTACCTTATTACCAATCGATAAATGAACCTAAAATGGTCACACATATTAAGGATTTCTAAGCTTGATGGGAATCAGAGATTTTCTTATTAAAGAGTTAATGAAGATATTAAAGTTTCCATAAGTCCTAATTGACTAATTAGTAGAATAGGTTAAAATGGTATTTTTGTGATCGGATAAATTGATTAAATTAATTAATTGTTGATTAATTAGTTAAATTAATTAATTAAAAAATTAAGTCCAAATAAGGAGGCTTTATAAATGGATTTAATAATTAAACTTGGACCTAAATTGGGCTAGCACTCAAATGGGCCTAAATTTAGTTATTAGTTAATCCATCAGAGAATAAATTAAACTGGAATAAAATATAATAGGGATTGCCTACTAATCCAATATTTGTTGGCTATTTAAAGGAGACTTCCGGGTTCATTATACCTAAGATTAAAAGAGAATAGAAAAATTATAAAAAAACCCTAGCCATTGATATTCTTTGCCATCCCAAGGAAGAAGCTATTCTTGATTCCATTATATTGGGTTAATTCCCATCGACGAGAGATCCTATGTGTATCAATCTAGAGGTATCACACTTGGGGTACTCAGTAAGGATTCAACAAGGAAAAAAAAAATAGCAAATGAGTCAGTAAGCTTTTTCTTACTCTTGTTTTGTATTTCATGTTTTTGATACATATATACATGCATGTGTTATTTGCATTAAATTGTTATTACCTCGATCATAAGGGCACAACTGGAGAGGAAGTTTCAAAATCCGGGCAACAAGGTGCTTCCGCTAAACGTTCCTTACCCCAGCAATAAAATCATCTTTAGCTACTGAAGACAAATAATAAGAAATGGAAAAGACTAAGGGCAGTTACAAAACCATGATTAGATCTCTGTTTTTGTTAATCTATAAATTCCATTATCTATTAATCATGTACAAATCATCTTATTATTGCAACAATCAGACTGCCAATTCTCTACAATACAAGTTGGACAGCACAAAAAACTAGATGTTAGCAAAGTAAAAGATGTTAATATGAAGTTAATTGCTCGGTCTTATCCAAATTTCAACCAATAGAGGAAACTGCAATAAAGAAAACAAGTTTTTCATTAATACTTCAAGACTACCATTCTGGTTTATATAGCCAATGCAATGTTGGCAATTCAGGTGAAATCTCCTGATCTTCAGGTGATAAAAGAGGAACTGAAAATAACAGAACGTTGTTAACAAACTTTGCTTATTTAAACTAACACACTTTTCTCACCACACCGACTTAACAGAATAACAGACTGTTTTTGAACTGATGTTGCTGAGCTGGAACTCATATGTTGACTTGTCAGTTGCTGTATTGGTTAAAACATGGGTGGTCTATAAGTGGATGAGAACATTTCAACCAAAAGAGGAAACTGCAGCCTTGAAAATAAGATCATTGTGAGGCAACCAACAAGGGCAACTGGCGAAAAAAGTGGTATCCATATATGAGCAAGAGTCATGCAAATGGCTGCACCAAAGGCTACCACCATGCATACAACAGAGAAGAGTAAAGTGACGTGGCCCATAACAAAATTATTTGGCAAGTACTCCAGAAAATCCTCTTCTGAATAACGTGAAGCAATGATGCCCAAGAACATCAGCAACGAAGCGCTGCTTGAAAAGAGTGCAAGCGCATCAAATATGATAAAGATTTTGAAAGATTTCTTAGACAAAAAGGTAGGGATCCCATCATTCGTATTGCCACCTGGTAAAGTGAAAGCCACAGCAAACACTACTGTGATTATGAGTGTAGATGCAATAATGCATGATGAACCAGTATCCTTCATCCATCTTTCACCTTCTCTGACTAAATTCTTGTGTGATTCAGTAAACACTTGTCTAGGAGTTTTATTGGACTCGTTTCGCTGTTCTTGAAGGGATGGATGAACAAAACTTTCCACAGCCTGAGCATATATACACAAAACCCTAGCTTAATAGATAAGAAAATGCTGGGCAATATTAAGGAATGCGTGTTATATATAAAAAATTTCTCATTTTTCATGAGTTTCGGGCCTTAAATTGAAGAAGTAATTAAAAATATAAAAATAACTCTTTCATTGCTTGGTTGGATGCTCACCTTAAACCATAGTAGCTCCCGCTGCATCTGCAATGCGGGACCCAGAATTTGATCTGAAGGGACAAACCTTCCAGCGGAATGCAAAATGTTGTCTTTTTTTACTCTCATGTCAGCCACTTGCTTCATGTCCGGGTCCCAGGTGAGTAACATATTTTTTCTATTTACAAGACTAAATACTTTTTCGTGGCGATTTAGAATTGCAAGTCGAAATATGTCATCATCATTTTTTGTAAGGAAAGTAAAGAAGAAGAAATAGGCCTTCATAATTTCATTGACAAGCTCGTAAATCCCTAATGCTGCGGCTGTAAGAATTGGTGTACATAATGAGTTGCTTCTTCATGGCTCCAAATAACTCTGTCATGACACATGATTCTGACAATTTCATGTGCTTGCATATTCGTTAACTTTGTATCATGTATGCTCTTGCTGATTGGAGCTGCATTTAATTAAACTCTACTCATTTAACAAGCTAGAGACTTTCTTTCAAACCTCTTTCTTTTCACTACCTTGTTTCCACAAGATAAGGTTAGGGCACATGTACATGTTAAAGACACTAAAAGAAAAATATTTACTTATTTTGATATATATTATATATAAAGACAAAAAAAAATATAATTTTAACAAATCAAAATGCTAAAGTTTTTATCCTCTAATATATTTTACGTATATTGTTATAACACACATTAAGGCAATATAGAAGATGAAACCTTCTTAATTCCAGCTGTAATGATGTGTAATATCCAAAGCTTTATATAACATACATTATTGCTGCTATCTTTTACTTTTTGTGCGTTTCAACTTTTCTTCTTTACTTTTCCTTTCTGAACTCTGGCATTTGGTGGGGAGGAAATAATATTAATGTGTGCTGAACAAGGTGAGAGAAGCAAGGAAAGCCTGGGGTAGTGGCGGATCTAGGAAATAAATAAATAAAACTAATCATAAGTACACTTTTTTTTTCATCATAATGACTAATGAGCTTCAATAAAAGTTATAAGATAGAAATAAATACCCTTAAAAAACACAATTTTTGTAAAAATAAAACAATTTTTCTCAACGAGTTTTCCTATTCTAAAAACGTTAGATAATCATCTTATTGTCAATTGTATCAGATACATCTTTCTCAATATAAATGACCAAACAATCATTCATCCATTGATCTCCCATTCAATTGCATAACCGACTTTTCATAAGATTCATTGTAGAAAAAACTCTTTCAACAGTCGCAGTCGCAATTAGTAAAACCAATGCAACTTTCACAAGCTTATACACCAACATACGCAAAAAAAATTTTTAAACTGAACTAAATTCTTAACCAAATCACCAATTTCTTGTAACCCAGCAAATTTATCAGAAGAACATATGTCAATAACATAAATCTTAGCCTGGTTCTCAAGTACCATCAACTCAAGTGTAGAAAAATCAAGTGGATAAAATTGACCAAACCCATTCTTCCCTCTCTTCTCTTTTTCCTTTTCCTTTGCTTCTTCTTCCTTTCTTCTTTATGGGTTTTTCTCTCTTCTTCTTCATTTTTTGCGAACACCCAGTATATATATAAAACAACTTCTTTGAATAATGAAACTGTCCTAAGATTCTCTGATTCTCACCATGACCTCGCCACATTAGCTTTTTGATGTAAAAATGCCCAGATTTCTCCTCTCAGTTAAATGCAAACCCAACAATTCTTATTCCTTTCATTTTCGTTCCTAATAAAACTTTTAAAAACTAACAGATTCCCTTGCATAAAAATAAAAATCATAAAAAATATGAAATATATATATTAGGATTAAAAATAGGGTTTTACAAAAATAAAATCCAAACTAACTGTGGGGACTGTTCCCAAAATCTAATAATTTATAAGTGTAAAATTCAAATAAATATAAGATGTGGACTTTTTTAAAAATTTGAGTGGGACTATAGTCCCCACAAGTCATCAATTGGATCCGCCACTGCCTGGGGGGATTCCATGTAATTTATCCTTGATTTCTAATGTCCACTTCTCTTTTCTTCACTTTTTAGTCGTTGGGTTAATTTTATCGGCCACTATATAACGTTAAGCCAAATTTTCCAGATATTTTTTAAAATAAAAAAAACACATTCATTTTATTTAGGAGGTTTTTTGATAATTTTGTAAGAGATATCGGGTTTTTGATAATTTTGTAAGAGATATCCAGTTTTTGATAATTATAAGGGATTTTTGATCATTTTATAAATGATATTTTATATTTTCAAGAGGATTTAATACTTAAAAAAACATTCAGATCTACCTCTCCTATTGCCTGTTGGCATTATTGTCAAAGAGATGTTTTCTAGTCAGAAGTAGAAGGTCCTACAAAATACAAATTGCAGCAAAAGTAAAGAAGGAAATGATATCCTTTCATTTTGTCTGTTTTCATTATTTCTTCTCTACTTTTTTTCTTGATCGATTCTGCGTTTTGTAGGGACGTTTCATTTCTCTCTCTGTATTTTCTGCTTAATTTCCTCTCTCTGTTCCCATAAATTGCAGAAAATTTAGAAAGCATACGAATAGTAGTTCATCCTTTGGGTGATAGAAAATAAATGAGCCAAGAAACAATGAAAGAGGGGAGGGGAGCTGGGCTAGAACACAAATATTCAATTCAACAACTATTAATTACATTAATAAATGTTAATGACGTGATACTCCCTAATATTTTACAATTTTTTTGAGAAGATTTGAAGATGAAGATTAAGAAGGGATTAGAAGAGATACCTCACATCGTCAAGTTGGTGGGTTATTATGATGTATATATATTATTAGACTCTCTCCTCCCTTAAGTTAACTTTTGGGAGTGAGTTTTACTAGTCCTCTTTATCGTAGTTATAGTTAAGCCAAGTCCCATGGACTTGGGTACTCGAGAAAATTACAACCCATCCTTACTATTAACAAAAATAACAAATATATCCTATAAAAATTACAAATTCACCCCCAAATATTCAATTGAAATTGATCATAAAATTTGAGTGATCCCCATATTCTGATTTCGATTCCTACAATGGTGGAATCAAAACCAACCTTGTGAGGGCTGGTTCCCGGTAGAAACCAGAACTAGAACCCCATGTACCTGCTGGTTTCAAACCTAAATTCCTGCACACCCCTAGTTATGGTGTATGCAAGGTTTCGAGAGTGGACCGCTTTTATGTTATGGTGTATGTTGGCTTTTGGAAGTGGCTTTTACACCAACCCACTTGACATTATGGTGTGTTCTAACTCTTGGGAGTGTAACACTTTTGGGCTTGTGTAAGCCCACTTTATCAAGAAGAGAGCATTGAGTCTCGAGATACTGAGGTTTGAGGATAAACTGAAAAAGACGAAGTGGCTTTAACACAAGACCAGTTAAATCTATATTTTATACTGGTTTACAAAAGTCAGTAACTTCATTTACATAAGAATTATGTAACTTAGAAGAAATTTTAGTCCATCTTTTCTAAACACACAGAATTAGATTTAATTTCATAAGGGTAAATTATAACACCACCACCAAAGCATAAAAGAGGTAGAATTTTAAACCCTAAAGTTAAAATGAAAATGCCAAAGCAATTTGCTTCTCTGTTGTTTTTTTTTTTTTTTTTTTTTTCCATGTTCTATACTTAGGCCTTATGGCTTAGAGGCATGTAATTCTTAATTTCAAGAATTTCATTTACTCTCATTTTACAAATAAACAAAAAGGACAAAAATGTGTAATTTAAATGCAGTACTGTTAAAGTAATGTATTGCTCTGTTGCTCTTCTGGAGAATTACTTGGTTGGTTGTAAAATGCTTGATCCATAAGTTGAAGAGATCATCTCAACCAACAAAGGAAACTGCAAAAGAGCAAATAAGGATACAGGGAGACAGCCAAGAAGGGAAATTGGAATGATGGTCCATTTCCATGGATGGGAAAGAAATATGTAAAGGGTTGCACCAAATGCTACCATCATGCTTGCAATAGAAAAGAACAAGGTGATTAGCCCAATGATTAACTTCTTCGGCAAGGACTCCAAAAAATCTGCTTCTGCATAACGCGAAGTGAGGATTGCCATGAACATTAGTAGTGAAGCAGTGGAAGTAAAGAGTGCAAATGAATCTGATATGACAAACACTATGAAAGATGGTTTGTGCAAGAAAATGGGCGTCCCTTTAGTAGAGTCATTGCCACCTGGTACTGTGAAAGCCGCTGCAAAGACTACTGTGATTATAAGTGCAGCTATAACTGTGCAGGACGAAGCAGTCTCCTTCATCCATTTTTCACCTTCTTTGACTAAATTCTTGTGTGATTCGGTAAAAACTTGTCTAGGAGTTTTATTGGACCAATTTTTCTGTTCATGAAGGGATGGATGAACAAAACTTTCCACAGCCTGGGCATATACACATAAAACCTTAGCTTAATAGATAAGAAAATGCTGGACAATATTAAGGACTAAATATTATATATTAAAAATTTCTCATTTTTCATGAGTTTCGGGCCTTAGATTGAAGAAGTATTTAAGATGATAAAAATAACTCTTTCTTTGCTTGGTTGGATGCTCACTTTAAACCATTGTAGCTCCCCCTGCATCTGCAATGCGGGACCTGGAATATGATCTAAAGGGACAAACCTTCCAGCGAAATGCAAAATGTTGTCTTTTTTTACACTCATGTCAGCCACTTGCTTCATGTCCGGGTCCCAGGTGAGTAAAATATTTTTTCTATTTACAAGACTAAATACTTTTTCGTGGCGATTTAGAATTGCAACTCGAAATATGTCGTTACCATTTGTAGAAAAAGTAAAGGAGAAGAAATAGGCCTTCATAATTTCATTGACAAGCTCGTAAATCCCTGATGCTGCGGCTGTAAGAACTGGCGTACATAATGACTCAAATGCTTCTCTATTGCTCCAAATAACTCTGTCATGACACATGATTTTGACAATTTCATGTGCTTGCATATTCGTTAACTTTGCATCGTGTATGCTCTTGGTGATTGGAACTGCATTGAAATAATCTCTACTCATTTAACAAGCTAGAGAATTTCTTTTGAACTACTCAGTTAAGAGAACATATATTTCAATGCCTGATTACCTAAGTGCATGAGGGCATTCCAGAGCGTAATATATATTTTTTGGCGCAAAGCGCCTGTTACAATTATAAAAACAAATGGCAGCAGTCAGTATCATAATTAAAGGAATGAAGAGATATTTAGATGGGAGGTTTACAAACCAAGGCTTGTGGCAGTAGACATCATTTGTTGAAGAAATCCAATATCTGTTAATTCAGCCAACTTTGTCTTTGATCTCTCATCGGGAGTTTTCACGTCTCTGTCCACACTTTCAGGGCCAGGAATATGTTCTTCTTGCACAGGAATCCCTGCCAAATTATATTAGTTGTGAGCATACATTTGAGAGAAAATTTCTATAAGGAATTTGTATATATAATATAATTTGAACAAGAGTTCTGCATATGTTGCGACTTAGCAGAGAAAGTAAAAAATTATTAGATTGTTGACACCGACATTTATAGATTAAGCGTTTCCAAAATCCAAGTCTGATCCCACTTTGAAATGCCAGAGGCTTATTCGCCAGTATTAATAAAATACTTCCTCTATCCTGGTTCTCGACACGAGCTAAGTTTGGATATCGCTTCAATAAGTCTAAAGATACACCTGTAAATGGAGTAGAGATCAACCAAAAATTAGGGGTCGAAGAAAGAAACCAAAACAACATTTACGTATATGATCTGAAAATGTATCCCATACTGACCATAGAGACCAGAATTGGTCAAATCTTTAAGCAGAAAAACACCATCACTGTTATCCAAGCTAACTGCTGTCACTGAGAGTAGATATTGAATAGTTTCCTTGTGGCCACGAATTGCAGCTTGGCGAATTGGTAGTAAACCGTCGTTGTTCCTTATATTTGGCAATTCTTTGTTCTTATGAACAAAGGCTTTTGCGGCCTTTGTGTTGCCACATTTGGCAGCGTGGAATATAGGCGTTTGGCCGTATTCATCAGTCAATCGTTCTAGTGAGTCTGGGCCAACCATCGATGCAACCTTTTCCAGAAGCCAAAAGGGGGAATCTAAGTTTAGAGTAATTACGTGAATAACTGTTTCCTCCAGAAATACTTTAATCTTGGCAGTCAACACCACGGGGTCTTTGGTTATGAAATCGTCAACTCTCTTCCAATCATTCTCTTGCACAGCCTTGTATAATGACTGGTACTTAATATGATCCTCATTCCCCTCGCTTCTTTTCTCCACTATAAATTCCAGATTATGAACATATATTACTGAATAAATCTAAAAAGACTTCAAAAGATAATTATTCATAATGAGAACTTTCACACCACATCAGTACGTATCCTTAACTAACTAACCTTCTACATTAACACGTCCATCATTCTTATAGCTTTGCGTTGTTGCAGTTTGTTCCTTAAAATCACCTTGCTTCACCTCAATGACTCCTTGTCCTGTTTTGCTAAAAAATTGATCAATCGTAGGTTGAAAGGGATTGCCTTTTATACTCCTACTGTTCGCTGTTATATTCCAAATCATGTACACGGGAGAGCACTTCAATAAATAAGAGAGTTTAAACGATATAACCAATACTATGCAATGCATTAATTTTCACTTAATATCAGTGTCGTTGACTTACCTTCGGCATTCACAGCTTCATCATTCTTATGGCTTTGAGACTTTGCTGGTTGCTCACCCGATGCATTTTCATTTACCTCTGTAATTTCATCTCCTTTTCTTTCAACCAAGTTAGTGAAAGGTTGAGCAGAATCCATTGGCGATATCAGTTTAGGACAAAGAGTGCTCTGTAAGTTATTTTCAAGTACTATTTATAAGGATCTCAAAAGCCTAAAGCCAATACATAGAAACAACCGTAATCATTCATTTCATCTCTTGGAAAAGCGATAATTTCCCGGGGACAAAATTTCGCTGGGAATTACTTTTGCAGTTAGATTCTCTGAGTCAAAATGGAAGAAAGTTCTTATAACTTTTATTTATTGAAATGAATTCGCAGAGTGAATTATTTTCATTTTAACTCTGAGTGTTACTAGAAGAGGTTACTTTGTTCTTAGAATATTTTGCATGAAACTCATTTTTTGCCGGACAATGAAAGTTTATTTCTTTTTGCATCAGTTTTTTGCAAGTTTTGCCTAGAAATTTGCATCAGTTTATTTCTTCCATGGCAAGCAAAGTTGCAATTCTCTCCTTCCAATTTATGAAAGAATTGTGAATTACTCTCACTGTAGCCCCGTATAATGGCTAATGTCTTATATGCTCATAATAATACTTAACAGCTCGAAGGAATGGCTGCTCCTTAACGTAGGACGGACGTTCCAAGTTTTGCCTAGAAATTTCTGGAAGACGGAACTGGCATAGGAACGGGGTCGTTCCGTGTTGGAATGTCCTGACCTAAGGAATATTGAACAGACACAAACCATTTTGGTCAACTTAGTCTTATAGGAGCACCCGGATCCTATAGGATAAAGAGGGTAGGGATGGGTCCTATCACTCTCTAAAAGGAGAAAAAGAAAAAGAAAAAAAGTAAAAACAAGTTAATATCAATAAAACAGGAAAGATCCACTTCAACTTTTACTGTTCTCCATTTCTACCTCTCCTGTCGGTAGCTGTCTTCCTTTATTCTATATTCCACCATCCAAAAATCATTATCACGCTGCATTTTTGTCTCCAGCTTTTCTTTAGGTGATTGATTTACTTTAAATTGCTCCTTGGAATACTTCCTGACCCTTTCAAAATTAAAATCCTCTCTTTGGCCCCCACAAATTTAAATCTTTTTCTTGTTCCCATCCAAAAAAAAAATTTGGCTGTTGAATTGATGGTCCTTTTTGGTCAAACGCCAACTAGTGATGTAGACTCAAGCGTCGAGTCATCAAAATACGAAATTAAGGGTTAGATCGGCTGGAAATTAGAAGCCAATAAAATCAATTTTCAGGCTTCTAATTTCATAAGATGAAGAAGCGAAAAACTTATGTAAAAAGAGGACAATTTTGTTCATTGAACTCAATTAAAACATACAACTTACATTCTCTTTTATAGGTTTTAAAGGGATAATTGAAAAATAACTTATAATAACAATTACAAGAAGTTACAGAATGATAAAAACTGAAAATAACTTCATTTGATTTTATCTAAAACTGAAATTCTAAACCATGCCTCAACACAATGCCTAGGCATCAAAGTATTTTGGAATTTTAGATCCACCTTCTTCTTTGTGTGCCGCGGCAATGCACCGCAGCATGCTTCCCTTTTATTTGTGTGCTGCGGCACGATTCCCTTATACCAAAACGTGTTCATTATTTAACAAGATCATATTTGGGCGATGACTTTGAGTGCTCGGTCAATTAATCAACAATGACGTGTATTTGATTTGATCTTTGTTCTAGTTCAAGTTCCTAATCAAAAGTCTAAGTCTGGTCAAATTCAATGATCGTCCAAGCTACCGACAAGTTACCGTCTTTGTCCTCTGCAAAAGATCCATTAAATTACAAAATTTATCAAAGAATGAGTCTATTGATCAAATTTATGCACCAAATCAAGCATCTTTATGAGCTAGCTATAGCCTCTTTCTTAATTTAGCCCTTGAACTTGACGAACCCAATTGGTACAAAGTGGTAAAGGCCCACCTTGATTAGATTACATATAAAAATGCGAAGTGTTGTTTAACATATAAGACCCCTTGTTGGGTAGTTCAAGTAATAGAACGAGTAGGGTGTATGGTCTCAAGTTCGAATCTTCTCTATCTTCCAAGATTTAAACATATCATCATGACAATGAGTAGTTAGTCACATACTCAAATTAGTCGAGATACGCCCAAACAAGCCCGACCACCTAGTTTCAAACACCCTGTTGTGTGTGATTTTTTCACCAATCTCGGGCTGCCGCGAGGATGTAACTTGACCCACGACCAATCCCACTCCACTAATTGTTTGACCTAGCACAAGCTTGTTAACACATAGCTTAACCTAAAATAAGCTAGTCACGAACAACTCGAATGATCATTCAATCAATTCCTAGGTATTTTCAAATCCCAGATATTACAGAAATGACCAAATCAACATCAATCTCTATGTGATCACAGTGCCAAATCATGAGAATATCGGAATTATAGTTCAGATTAATTGTAATATCTTTATTTTCACTCTTTCCTTTGTACAAATCTTGTATATAAACCCCCATAAATAATAAAAAAGGGGTTACGATTTGACACAAAATTCGTTTTGTAAGCTCTCACAACAAATATAAAAAACAGTGGTCATAGGCTCAAAAATTTATCTCGTCAAACCACTTTAAAATTCTCATGGCCCTTTATTTTAAAGTGCTTAATTTCCTCTGTGTGTTTCTACTCAGAAGATCCCACAAATTGCACAAAATTAGTCAGGTCCCACAAATTGCAGAAAATTTAGAAAGCGTACGAATAATAATTACAAAAGAAAATAAATGAGCCAAGAACCAATGAGAGAGAAGAGAGGAGAGCTGGGCTAGAACATAAATATTCAATCCAACAACTATTAATTACATTAATTATAAAGTTAGATATACTGTAGTATAGATATATTAATTTATAATATTAATATAAAATGAGTCCCGAGATATTCAAGTTTGAGCATAACTAGTGATTTTGGGCTTTTGGAAAGATGGGTCACTTCATCTCATAATTCAAATTTTGGGTTGGATGTTCAATAAAGAAGAAATAAAGTATAAGGTTCAAATGGTTATATTGAACATTACAAGATTAAAACATTAATCAACATTACAAAATTTATCAAAGTCATAAAGGGGATATATGTTTCAAGTATTTTGATCGTATTTCAGATCTATTTACAGGTATTAAAATATATAGATAGATCCATATATAAATGTTTGAGCAAGCCTAAGGAGATGGATGTCTAAAATAGAGTTTGTTTAGATGCAACAAGTGACTTATCATTCACCAAATCAAGCCATCTTCATAGGCTACCAAACATTAAGGCTCCGTTTGGTTCACAATTTTGTGTTTTTGGGAAAAGTTTTTTGAAAAAAGTTTAAAAAAAAGTTGAATTGGGCGGGTATTACGATGTAGGATTTACAAATTGATAAAATACCCCCTATGTTTGTTTTTTTACAAAACACCCCTTATAATAAAACATTAAAAGTTAACAAAAATACCCCCAATCTACCCTCAAATACGGACAGCCGGCCACCACCGCCGGAGGGTAGCCGGAGTCGCCGTAACAAAAACATTAAAAATATTTAGGGGTATTTAATTGAATTAACAAATTTAGGGGGTTTAAAAGATGTTGAATAAAGTTTAATAATATTGTGAGTTTTGGGTATTTTACTGTTTAACTTTTTTGGGAATACTAAAAGTAGTATTCCCAAAATCCAACCAAACGAAGCCTAAATGTTCAAACAAAGTAAAGCCCATTAACTTAAGCCCACTATTCCCAAAAAGCCCATTTACTTTACCACCCCAATTGGCAAAAATGGGAAGAGCCATATTTTGATTGAATTTCCATCTTTTTTTTTTCTATATATAATTTTTTTAATCCAATATCCCATTTTGTTTTTTATACTTTTTATTAAAAGTTGTAATTGTCTCACATCATCGAGTTGGTGGGTTGTTATGGTGTCAATATATGTAATTGGATTGCCTCCTCTCTTGAGTAAACTTTTATGCATGGTATCATCCAAACCCCCTCACACAGTTGAATTTCCCTGTTCACCATTTAACCCATCTTGCCATTTTCTTATCTGTGTTTAGAATTTGATTTAATTTCAGAAGTCTCAATCATAACACCAACACTAAAGCATAAAAGAGGTAGAATTTAAACCTCATAAGTGAAAAGGAAAATGCTCTTTTTCTGTTTTTAGAATTAGATCTAATTTAAGAAGTCCCGATCATAACTCCACCACCAAAGCATAAAAGAGGTAGTGTTTAAACCCCTAAAGTTAAAAAGAAAATGCCAAAGCAATTTGCTACTCTGTTTTTTATGCTCTAATTACTTAGGCCTTAAAGCTTGGAGGCCTGTAATTCTTAATTTCAAGAATTTCATTTACTATCATTTTACAAATAAACAAAAGCGACAAAAAATGTGTAATTTAAAAGCAGTACTGTTAAAGTAATGTATTCTTCTGTTGCTCTTCTAGAGAATTACTTGGTTGGTTGTAAAATGCTTCGTCCGTAAGTGGAAGAGATCATCTCAACCAACAGAGGACACTGCAAAAGAGCAAATAAGGATACAGGGAGACAGCCAAGAAGTGAAATTGGAATGATTGCCCATTTCCATGGATGGGAAAGAAATATGTAAATGGTTGCACCAAATGCTACCATCATGCTTGCAATAGAAAAGAACAAGGTGACTAGCCCAATGATTAACTTCTTCGGCAAGGACTCCAAAAATTCTTCTTCTGCATAACGGGAAGTGAGGATTGCCATGAACATTAGAAGCGAAGCAGTGGAAGTAAAGAGTGCTAATGAATCTGATATGACAAACACTATGAAAGATGGTTTGTGCAAGAAAATGGGCGTCCCTTTATCACAATCGTTGCCACCTGGTACTGTGAAAGCCGCGGCAAAGACTACGCTGATTATGAGTGCAGCTACAACTGTGTAGGACGAAGCAGTCTCTTTCATCCATTTTTCACCTTCTCTGACTAAATTCTTGTGTGATTCGATAAACACTTGTCTAGGAGTTTTATTGGACTTGTTTCGCTGTTCTTGAATTGATGGATGAACAAAACTTTCCACAGCCTGAACAAATATACATAAAACCTTTTGGCTTAATGGATAACAAAATGCTGGACAATATTAAAGACTGCATGCTATATATAAATTTTTTCTCATTTTTCATGAGTTTCGGGCCTTTGATTGAAGAAGTATTTAAGATGATAAAAATAAGTCTTCCATTGCCTGTTGGATGCTCACCTTAAACCATTGTAGCTCCCTCTGCATCTGCAATGCGGGACCCGGAATATGATCTGATGGGACAAACCTTCCAGCAGAATGCAAAATGTTGTCTTTTGTTACTCTCATGTCAGCCACTTGCTTCATGTCCCGGTCCCATGCAAGTAAAATATTTTTTCTATTTACAAGACTAAATACTTTTTCGTGGCGATTTAGAATTGCAAGTCGAAATATGTCATCACCATTTCTAGTGAAAACAAACGAGAAGAAATAGGCCTTCATAATTTCATTAACAAGCTCATAAATCCCTAATGCAACGGCTGTAAGAACTGGTGTAACTAGTGACTTTAAGGCTTCTTCCCGGCTCCAAGTAACTCTGTCATGACACATGATTCTGACAATTTCATGTGGTTGCATATTCGTTAACTTCGTATCATGTATGCTCTTGGTGACTGGAACTGCATTTAATTAAACTCTACTCATTTAACAATCTAGAGACTTTCTTTCAAACTGCTCCTTTAATTAATAGAATATATAATTCAATGCTTAATAACCTCAGTGCATGACCGCATTCCAGAGCATAATATATATATTTTGGCGAAAAGCACCTGCTATAATTATACAAAACAAATGGCAGCATTCAGTAGCATAATTATAGGAATGAAGAGATATTTAGATGGAAGGTTTACAAACCAAAGCTTCTGCCAGTAGACATCATTTTTTGAAAAAATCCCATGTGTGTGAATTCTGTTAACTTTGTCTTTGATCTCTCAGAGGGAATTTTTACGTCTGTGTCCACACTTTCAAGGCCAGGAATATGTTCTTGCACAGGAATCCCTGCCAAATTATATTAGTTAGAAGACGTACATTTGAGAGAAATTCTATAAGGAATTTGTATATGTAATATTTTGAATAACAGAGTTCTGCGTATGTTATGACTTGGAAGAGAAAGTAAAAAATTAAAAGATTGTTGACACCAACATTTATAAATTAAGCGTTTCCAAAATCCAAGCTTGATCCCACTTTCAAACGCCAAAGGTTTATTCGCCAGTATTAATAAAATAGTTCGTCGGTCTTGGTTCTTGACACGAGCTAAGTTTGGATATCGTTTCAATAAGTCTAAAGCTATACCTGTAAATGCAGTAGAGATCAACAAAAAATTAGGGCAAAGGATTGTTGTCCCAAGACCAGGGTTCAAAGAAAGAACGTTAAACTAATAAAACTAAGAAAGCAAAAAAAAAAAAAATCTTATATCTGAAAGATGAATCTATGAGTCTATGACAATTATATAAATACCGTATCCTTAGTAATGTTAAATAATAAAAGAGAATTAATATAATTTACATACTGACCATAGATACCAGAATTGATCAGATCTTTAAGCAGAGTCACTCCGTTCGTGTCATCTAAGGGCACTCTTGTCATTGAGAGTAGATATTGAGTTGTTTCCTTGTGGCCACGACTTGCAGCTTGGTGAATCGGAAGTAGACCCTCGCTGTCTTTTAAGTTTGGCAATTCTTTGTTCTTATGAACAAAGGCTATTGCCGCCTTCGTATTGCCACATTTGGCAGCGTGGAATATAGGCGTTCGGCCATATTCATCAGTCAATCGTTCTAGTAATTCTGGGCCAGCCATCGATGCAAGCTTCTCCAGAGGCCAAAAGGGGGCATCTAAGTTTTGAGTAATTACGTGAATAACTGTTTCCTCAATATATACTTTAATCTTGGCAGTCAACACCGCGGGATCTTTGGTTATGAAATCGTTAACTCCCTTCCAATCATTCTCTTGTACAGCCTTGTATAATGACCGGTACTTAATATGATCCTCATCCCCCTCGCTCCTTTTCTTAACTATAAATTCCAAATTATGAACATATATTACTAAATGAATCTAAAAAGAGTTCAAAAGATAATTATTTATAATGAGAACTTTCACACCACATCAATACATATCTTTAACTAATTAACCTCTGCATTAGCACGTTCATCATTCTTATTGCTTTGCGTTGTTGCAGTTTGTTCCCTGGAATCACCTTGCTTCACATCAGTGACTAGTTGTCCTGTTTTGCTAAAAAATTGATCAATCGTAGGTTGAACAAGATTGCCTTTTATACTCCTACTGTTCGCTGTTATATTCCAAATCATGTACACATGAGAAAGCATGTCAATAAATGTTATACCCGGGAAAATAAAGGGCTGACGTGGGAAAGTCACGTTATGCGTGACCTGCTCCCGTCAGGGCAACACGCACACGTCAGACCTGCGAAATAATATGGAGCTCACACGCGTCCATTCCTCTGCAGCGAGTCGTGCGAAGTCAGCTTGGAAAAAGGAAAATGGGACGTAAAGTCAGATTGTATCCTGACAATCACACCAACCCATGGATTCAATGATGATTACACGCTTCAGTTTGAGATAAAATGAGGAAGACCCCTCCATTAAGGGGATTCGGCCATTCTTTACAAAAAACAACTCTCTCTCTCTTGTAAAAGGAAAACACTTACTTTTCATAACTTTTTGTACGTCAGTCCGCTTCGCGACCTGACCCACACTAATATCAATACAAATCAGTGGACGTAGGACTTGCTACCTTAGCATCCGAACCACTTTAAAAGTCTTCTCTGCATTTATTTCAATTGATATATCCATTATCACGTGCATTAATTCATCAAATAGCAAAACCCACGTGACAATTGGTTGGTGCCGAAGGAGGGCCTGATTTAGCGTCTACCCTTCATCAGGAGAATCTTTGACCTACTGGTCTTACAGCTACAATGGTCCGCCAATCTGAACCTGAGCAGGGGAACCAATACGCTGAAGGAGTCCCGGCGACCCAGAGGGACACCCCTTCCAGCATACCCCCAGTTTCGCAAAATGCTGTTGGGAATACCCCAGCAGCTCCGCAACTGGACCCTGCCATCCGAAGCTACCTGGAGAGGTTCGACAATACTCTCCAGAAGGTCAACCAGAGGTTGGACCGTCTGGACCAAGGCATGTCGTCCGCGACAGCCGGAGCGGTACAATCGCCAAAAACGCCTGCAGGTCGCGCGAAAGCGCGGCAAAGGGCGATAGCCCGTGCTGCGAGCACTGCAGCGCGCAAACGCAAGGGTAAGCAAGTGGCAAAAAGTAAGCCTACGGGCTCCCAAGGGCCAGCGAATACAAAAGGCGCCCCGAGCCGGGTGTCGGCAAAGCTGAGACTCGGTGAAAAAGTAGATCCCGAGCTGTCCCATGCCACGTCGCAAGCAAGCCCGACCGAAAATGCTGGTCGCGATGATTCCGATCACCACCAGCAGAACGATCCTGATCGTTCTCGTGCGGGTGCCCCCCACACCTCGCGGGGCGGTTCGTACCACCGCGAGGGTCGTGAAAATGCCCCGCACAATACATCGCCTTCACACGCCTCTAGTCAGCGTGTATCGAGCGTGCTGGATACCAGACCGCGGCGAGGAGGCATCCGACCTCCGAACTCTCTGACCGCAACCGGGAAGGCCGGCTCGCATGGGTGAAAAACACCCAGGTATGGCTCCTTTACCCCAAATTGAGGAGCTCCAGCGAGCTCTGGATAGGTTAAGGGAGCAGCGAACGTACAGGCGCAGTCGCCTCTACGTCCCCATTTTCCCTTGAAGTGCTAGCTGCTCCACTTCCGCCAGGATTCAGAATGTCAGATATGCGGCCGTTTGATGGAACTATGATCCGCAGGACCATTTATATGATTTCAACGACCTGATGGAGCTCCACCAGGTTTCGGACCTTCAAATCCGCTGTTTGGCCGTGACGTTACTTCTCATGCCAAACTGGTTTAGTCGCTCCCACGGGATCGATCAGTTCGTGGCCTCAGATGAGCACGACGTTCCTGCGGAATTCCAAGCCAACCGGAAATTTTCAATGCCTTTGATTACCTCATCATATAGGCAAGAGAGAGACGAATCCTGCAGTCTTACATTGATCGCTTCCACAGGACTCAACAAAGTGGCTCACCACCAGAGGTCCATCCGAACTCTTATAATAGCTGGAGTTCGCCCGCAAACGAACTGTGGAAAGAGCTGCAGCTGAGGACGATATTTCCCCACCAGATTCTATAACCTGGCAGAAAGTATCTTCGAATAGAGAATTCACTGGCGGCGCTCCGCCGTCGCGATCACGGCACTTCCAGTAGTAGGTCAGGTCGGGGAGACATAGGCGAGCTGATCGCAAAGGAGACTTGACGGTCAGCGAAAAGGGAAGAAACCCCGCTACGAGCAGAAAAATCCTATGCTCCTGTCCCCCGTCGTGACCGCGACGGGACCCAATACACTCCGTTGAATGTGTCCATATCCGCGATCCTCGACAAATCCGAGGAAGCCACCTGCTCGGTAGCCCCGAACCAATGAAAACCCCCGCTACGGCTAGAAATAACAAAAAGTATTGCCGTTATCATCGGGAAATGGGCATCTCACTGATGATTGCCGAGCTCTAAAGCAGGCTATCGAAGAGCTCATCAAGAAGGGGCACTTCAAGGGTACATTGATGACTCCCCAAAAAAACCAAGGGGAGCGAAAGAAAAAAGCGTCGTGATTGCAGCGGGTACGACAGTGTTAACATAATCTTCGGAGTCCGCACCTCGCGGAAACACCGAGGAGCGCAGAAAGATATGTTCGCGACGCGCTATGACCCGATCAGAGTGATGATACTTCGCAGCGACCTCCGAAAGCCAGAAAAGAGGAGCCAATCACCTTCTGCGAGAAAGAGGCGCTCGCTTGCACCATCCTCACGAGGATGCTCTGGTAATCACGCCCCTGATAGGTGTCATAATGTCTGCAGAATGCTTGTAGACAACGGAAGCGCCGTGACACTCCTGTTCAAATCCGCTTTCGACAGAATGACCTGGTCGAGGCCGACCTGAAACCAGCCTCGATGCCTCTGTATGGTTTTACAGGGGATCACTTGATCCCCATGGAACATCCAACTACCATCACGCTCGGCCGACTACGACAGGTGACTAGGTGTACCGAATTTTTGGTCGTGTACTGTCCGTCGGCCTCAATGGATCCTGGGCGACCTCTGCTGAGAACCTTCAGGGCAGTCACTTCCATTTATCATCTCAAGATGAAATTCCCCACCCCAACGGGGATAGGAGGTAAGCGAGTCGTAAAGTGCATCTCGCGAATGCTATGTAAAATCAGTCCAGATGGCCGACAAAGGAAAGGGCATTTCGCGGTGTAACACCCGCCGCTTGGCGATCACCGATCGAGCCACAGCCTGGTCCGGCGGAGGATATAGATCCGCGGTTCAGGAAATCCCCCCGAGCGGCCGTTGAGGATCTATCCGAATTTCGGTTGATCCAAAGAGCCGAGCCGAATGCTAAAATCGGAAGCTGTCTCAACCCTCAGCTCGCTTCCGAGCTGGTAAGCTTCTTGAAGGAGAACATTGATTGTTTCGCCTGTCCATGCAGATATGGCCAGGATCAGCCCGAACGTTGTTTGCCATTCACTGAACGTCAGCAGTGAAGCTAAGCCAGTTCGCCAAAAGAGAAGGGCAATGGATCCGGAGCGTACGCCGCATTAAATCAAAAGTGGAGAACCTTCTCCGCAATGGATCTATTCGCGGCTCTCTACCCGACCTGGGTTGCTACCTGGTCTTGGTCAGAAGCCAAATGGCAAGTGGCGGACCTGCGTAGACTTCAGCGACCTGAATAAAGCTTGCCCGAAGGACACTTCCCCCTGCCAAGAATCGACCAGCTCGTTGACGCCACTTCGGGGCACGGCTGTTAAGCTTCATGGATGCATACTCGGGATACAACCAAATCCCGATGTATAAGCAGATGAGAACATACGACCTTCATTACGGACCGGGGCTATACTGTTACAAGATCTGCCCTTCGGCCTCAAAATGCGGGTGCGACCTATCAGAGGTTAGTCAACCGAATGTTCTCCGACCAGATCGGGGACAATGGAGGTCTATGTGGATACATGCTGGTCAAATCCCAGGTCGCTTCCGAGCACATTACGCATCTCGCTGAGATGTTTGACATACTCCGACTCTACGAATGAAGCTGAATCTCTCAAATGTTCGTTCGGGGTATCGTCAGGAAAGTTCCTGGGATATATGGTCAATTAGCGGGGCATAGAGGTAAACCCCGAAAAGATTCAAGCTCTGCTAGATATGGAAAGCCCGACCGTAAAAAGCAGGTCATAGTCTGAATGGGCGAATAGCGGCGCTTAGTCGCTTCATATCAAGGCTACAGACCGCTGTTTGCCATTCTTCAATGTTCTGAAAGCCAATAAGAATTCGTGACTTACGAATGCGAGCAGGCATTCCAGAGTATAAAGAGCATCTTGGAAGCCACCTCTCCTTTCTAGCCTCTTCCACAAGAAATCCTGCTCATCTACCTTTCCGTGTCTCGTGCGGTCAGTGCAGCTCTAATACGAGAAGAGGAAAAAGTTCAGTGGCCGGTATATTATGCATAAGCTTCTATCGGATGCCGAAATGCGGTACCCGGAGATGGAGCGACTAGCTTTTGCCTTGCTGGTCGCGTCCAGAAAGCTGCGACCTTACTTCCATGCCCATACAATCAATGTAATGACAAGTTACCCTCTCAGGCAGGTCTTCAGAAACGGAGGCCTCAGTAAATTGCTCAAATGGGCCATGGAGCTGAGCCAGTTCGACTTAAGGTACACGCTAGGTCGACTATCAAAGGGCAGGCGGTTGCAGACTTCATCTCGGAATTTTCCTATCTCCCGAGCGAGCACAGTCTAGCGAGGTCGGGCAAGAGACTATCCAAACCTGTCGACATGGAACCTCTACGTCGACGGTCATCGAACAGGAAAAAGCCGGTGCGGGTCTTCTCCGGTAAGCCCCGAGGGGATCCGAATTCATGGTTCTCCGTTTGGGTTTAAAGTGACCAACAATGAGTCCGAATACGAAGCTCTGCTCGCCGGGTTGCGACTCGCCAAGGAAATGGGTGCAACCGCTCTCAGTATTTATAGCGACTCTATGCTGGTCGTCAACCAAATCCTAGAATACCAAGCCAAGGAAGAGAACATGGTCCGCTACCTGAAAGAAGCTAAGGTCTCTCTGGGGTCTTTTAAGCACTTTGAAATCGCTCAGATCCCAGAAGAGCAACTCAATAGCGGACGCCTTGGCAAAGATAGCCTCGTCATTGATTCAGAGGCTCCTGATACATTCCAGTTCGTTTTGTCAATGTTCCCACTATCAGCTTGGCCGACACAGGCCGTGAACGAGGTTCAGCCAGATTCCTGGATGACTCCCATTGTCCAGTACCTCAAGATTGGACCTTGCCTAGTGACAAAGTCGAGGCAGGGTCCTACGAGTAAGGTTTGCTCGTTTCACACTCGTCGGGGATCACTTGTATAGGAGAGGATTCAGTCCCACTCCTCCGATGTGGACCAGTGAAGAAGCAGACTACATCATGAGGAAATTCATGAGGGGATCTGCGGTAACCACGCAGCAGCTCGGTCTCTTGCGAACAAGATTGTTCGCCAGGGATACTATTGGCCCCGAATCCGGAGGTGCGTACAACTTCATCAGAAATGCGACAAATCCAACGTTCGTGAACATTCCGCGAGCCCTTCTCAATAGCTGATCACTATGTCTAGCCCCTGGCCATTCTCCATGTAGGGATCGACCTTATCGGCCCATGCCAGTTGGAAAGGGAGGGGTCAAGTATGCCGTGGTCGCGTTAGATTATTTCACAAAATGGGTCGAAGCCGAACCACCTAGCCGCGATCACGACCAGAAAGTTGAAAGACTTCGTTTCAGACACATAGTGTGCCGCTACGGAATTCCTCATACCCTCATCTCGGATAATGGAAACAATTCGATAATGAGGAGTTCAAGCAGTTCTGCGACGAGCTGGGCATCCATAAAAAATTTGCCTCAGTCGCCAACCGTAGGCGAACGGCCAGTTGAAGCAGTCAACAAGACCATCAAGCACACTCTGAAAGCCAGCTCGGGGCAGCCAAAGGAAATTGGGCTGACGACCTCCCCGAAGTCTTGTGGGCGTACAGGACAACTCCAAGGACCTCCACCTCGGAAACTCCATTTTCGCTAGCCTATGGCTGTGAGCAATGATCCCTGTAGTCGGAACTGGGTCTCTTCGGAGGGACTTGTACATAGGACGAAAACGAAGCACTATGAGAGCAAGTTTGGATCTGGTCGAAGAGCATCGCAACAAGGCTTTGCTAAGGATGGCGCCTACCAGCAGCGAGCAAAAAGATTCTTCGACTCAAGGTCAAGCGCAAGAGACTTCCAGGTCGGAGACCTGTGCTAAAGGAAGTTCTCCTCGGAGCCAAGAAGCCGAGTGTGGGGGTACTAGGACCTAACTAGGAAGTCCATACCGGGTCGACAAAGTAATCAGACCGGGGACCTACCATCTCAAAGGTTGAACGGTTCCAAAGTACCCCGAGCTTGGAATCCGAGCACCTCCGGCCATATTATCAGTAATCTGAACTCAACACTTATTATTTTGTTAATTCTTTTTTAGTATTACCTTGTTCGCTTAAAACATTTCTATGAGTTTTCTGTTCGCATGTAAAAATTAGTGAACAGTTGCCTATGTAAATCACAAATTGTAAATTGTACACGCAATATATGAAAAGAGCGAACTGCAAATTGAAAAGATGATTTCACTCATGTGCAAACAAAGAGTCCAACCCGATTACAACAAAAACAGCTCATTACGCCTAAGGCTGGTCGGAGATCCTTCG